AGAAAGCAAAGATGGTACCAATAGTGATATGCATCTTGGGTGCAATCCCAAAATATCTGGAGTACTACCTGAACAGTATCGGCATTGACAAAATCACCATCAGTCAATTGCAAAAGGCAGCTTTTACTTAGAACAGCTTACTTCCTATGATGATGTAACATCATCAAAAAGCAACATCTGCCTATCTCAGGTCCTTGGGAAGGACTCAGTAGTGGATAAATCTGCCAAATACAATCTAAACATCTGGCTGACTGCAACAAATCATAATATTTTTAAAAAAAATTTGGAAAGCTACTGGGATTATTAATACAAATGAATATTCATATATTATTGATAAATTAATATCAATGATATTAACATCAATGAATAGTAAATTTTAGGGGGCTTACAACCAATTAAAACCAAAATAAAGCATTAAAATATTAAAATAATATTAGCATTAAAATTGAATAAAAGTCATTGGTAAGGAAGAGAGCAAGATGTACACAGGGTAGGATCTTATATCAGTCCATTAGCCACATTTTCATTGGGGCTCCAATTGGCAGAGCCTAGTTTTCAAGCTCTGTATAGGTGATGCTGATAGGTTAGTTTCAATGTTACACGTTTTGTCAGTCTTTTTGCCTGTCAAAAGATTTGTGCATATGTCAAAAAATTCAGAGCATCAATCAGGTTATTTTGGAGCACCCTGTTTGCATAGTCCAGAGGTAATCATGTAACTATAAAAAAATTTCCCATGATATTTGAGAAAGGATAACTCCTTTTTCCAGAACTCCTTTTATAATCTTTGGTACCAAGCTATAGAAAAATCCTGGCGCAGTGGCTCAGCGGTTAAGGTGCTGGGCTTGTCAGCTGGAAAGTTGACAGCCCAGGTTTGAGACTTGAGCTCCATGCAATGGGGTGAGCTCCTGTCCTTGCTCCAGCTCCTGCCAACCTAGCAGTTCAGAAGCATACTAATGTGCATAGAGAAATAGGTACCACTTTGGTGGGAAGGTCACAGTGCTCTATGACATCATGCTGGCCACATGACTACGGAAATATCTTCAGACAATTCGGGCTTAATGGCCTTGAAACAGAGATGAGCACCGCCCCTATAGTCAGCAACGACTAGCGGAGTAAAATCCACAGGGACTCCTTTACATTTTTATCAGGGTATCGGTGAGCAGCTTGGCAGGTGAATAACATAATCCCCTCAAATTAGTAGAAAAACTAAATCAATTCCAGTGTCTAATGCAGGCATGTTCAAATTCGCGACGTCATGTGACGTTGTGTGATGTATCATGACTTTTTCCCCATTGCCAGCAGTGGGGTGGGCACGGTTTTGATGTGACGCATCCGGCCCGTGGGATGGTAGTTTGACATGCCTGATCTAATGGAAATATATTTTAAAAAATCAAGTATTAAGGTTTTATGCTGGCAAGGTGGGAGGCAACAGTTCCTAAGGAAGAGACGGTCATGTTATAAATGTATCTCAAATATCTAAGACCATTAAGCAACCTATCAAATATTCATTACTTTGAAAAGGTGGGTCAGGAAGCTAGAATGTAAACATTTGAGAATCTGTATCAGTCTGGGACATTTTGGAGTCGTAATGTGTGTTCAACTGCTGTATATAAGGCTTCATTCTTGTCTTCAGTAACTATTCTAGTTTAGATGAATCATATCTTTGAGTCTGCCAAGGCTAGCTGAGAAGTTACACTACAAGGTTAAGTGTCTGGAGATTAGTGAGTTACTACAAAGCCTGAGTGTGAAGCCCTACGCAAGCAAAATAAAACTCAGGAATGGTTGGTTTTTGGTAAAGAAAAACCAATAGAATTAGCTATTTGTCTGGAGTCTACACAGGAACTTGAGAGCCACAATCTGGATATGTTATCAGCTGTTCAAAATCAGTAGTCAGACACTGCAAAGGAATTGGAATTGGGATGTTTGAGGTGTCTCTTCAGTTTGTTTATAGCATTGGGCTAAATAAATAAATCTGGAATTATCACCTATGCAACATACTTGTGCAGGTTCTAGCAAGGGGTGGGAGGAGAGGTGAGAACTGACTTCATCTCATACAAACACAGAAATATCGTAAGGAAAGTATTAATTCAACTCCATTAAAAAATTAACATCCTGGGTCACAAAGGTACACATACTAGAAAAGCCCATATTCCTAAAAAAACCAAGAGACTATTTATGCCTCTTTAGAATTAACACTTACCCCAGTGCTAATTTTCTCTCACATACACAAACCCACAGCTGTGAAAACACGTGTGTAACGTTTATTCTACAAGGAATAATCTGAGTGATTTTCCATTTGTGAAGGCAGTTTTGAAGAGTTCTTTCATAGCAAATCTAATGGTAAAATATACTTTATTTCCCCTCCCCCAGACATTTTATAGTTCCAGAAGATTAGATCTTTCTTCAAAAAGAAAAAGAAAACTATTAATCTATGAACATCCAACCTGTTCTCCCTCTTGAGTGTGTAGCTACCAAGGTAATTTAAAGACAGGCAAAGGAAATGGGAAATATATTTTAATTGCTTTTCATTCAAGGTGAAAGTAGTTTCACTGTTTTGCAAATGTTTAGTTTATGCCTTGCAGTTAGCTAATCTTCAGAAACCAATTGTATTTTTCATTTTTTTTTAAAAAAAAAGTATAGTGGTTTTATTAAAAATTACAATATAAATTTGAAAAGAAAAAGAAAATAGAAAATTAAAAAATAAAAATATAGTAAAGAAATATATATTTCTTTATATATACAGTATGTATATGTATTATATGTAGATGCATGTGTATGTATATATGTGTGTGTGTGTGTGTCTGTCTCTGTGTGTGTGTGTTATAACTGACCCTGCAGCATTGTTGGTGGACATATGCATATGCTGAATTAAATCATGAATACAGTAAAGCATTAATTCTAAACACACTTAATAAAGGATAACAGAGCTCTATCTCATACATGACATATGATTACAGATCCTGATGTATACACATACAATAAGTGTGTGTGTGTGTGTGTGTGTGTGTGTGTGTGTGTGTGTGTGTGTGTGTGTTTGTGTGTTTATAAGACAGAGAGAAAGAGACCTATCTGACTTCAGGCTCATCATTAGTATAGGTAGTCCTTGAATTTCAAGAGTTCATTTAATGAGGATTCAAAGTCACAAGGGCCTCAGCAAAAATAATATTTACAATGTGTCCTCAAACATAACAGCCATTGTACTACCCCCTCGATCACCTGATTATGTAGTTCACATTTACAGCTGGTTGCAGCATGGGTCACTCAGTGACCACAATAAAAATATTCATAAAATGGGATCCAGTCACATGATTACTCACTTAACAATTACATGACTTAGTGACTGAAATGCCAGTCCCAATGATGGTCATAAGTCAAGGACCTGTACTTATTATCTTAACATTGTGACATTTTATATGTTCATGTGGCAAAAATGCACATCATAAATGCTATTCTCCAGGTGCTATTTCTCTTAGTGTTCCCATTTCGCCCTAGGTTACTTATAAAGCAGTCTTTTAATTATTATGTTTTATGTGCACTGCTTAATTTTAAATGTTCCAATATAATGGTCTTATAGGTTGTTACAGGTGGGAGTGGATTTAAAGTTGTATAAGTGGTTATGGACTCATTGGAGAAGAGCCTGATGCTGGGAAAGATTGAGGGCAATAGAAGAAGGGGATGACAGAGAATGAGGTGGCTGGATGGAGTACTGAAGCAGGAGGCGTGAGCTTAAATGGATTCCAGAAGATGGTAGAGGACAGGAAGGCCTGGAGGAACTTTGTCCATGGGGTCCGCGATGGGTCAGACATGACTTCGCAACTAACAACAACAACAACAAAGTGGTTATACAACATTTTTCTTGCAATCTGCTTCAATATCGGATTACAGAACAGTAATTAGAGAAAGGAGGATGTTTTTCCAAATCCCTCCCAGCCATTTTTCAATGCATATCTATGCTGCTCTAAACAATCATGTAATATTTATTCTGAAATTATCATTATTTCATATCTGCAGATGTGTGCAGCTATGCATGCAATTTCCAGGCTTAAAACAAATGCCAACTTGAAACAGCAGCATGATTTCCGGTTTCTTCTGTAATTTCAGTTTCTATACTATGGTTTATGGCATATGCTCTCAGTAAAAACTCTAATAATAAAAAACAGGTGATCCTTCCAACTTAGCTTAGTTTTTCCAGTTTCAACACTGTATATTGATTGGAGCTTGACGTACAATTTCATTATAGCAAAGTATTGTACATTCAATAACTTGAATCCACAGAGGAACAAATATGTATATACATCTCTCTCTCTCTCTCTCTCTCTCTCTCTCTCTCTCTCTCTCTCTCTCTCTCTCTCTCTCTCTCTCTCCCTCCCTCCCTCCCTCCTTCCCTCCCTCCCTCCCTCCTTGGATGGATGGTTGGATGGATGGATGGACAGACAGACAAACAGACAATATTTGAACCCCAAAACATAGCATGGCAGTACTTCATAAACAAAGAAGTTTCTTTCTTCTGGGATCCTGTAATCAAATAATTCTGTGGTAGATTACTCAGTTCCAGTAGTGCCCTCTTATTTATTTTCAATGGTGAAAACATAAAAGCCAATACAAAAACCAAAAAGTGTGCTTACTGGAATGCCTGGAAAAAAACCTAATTTGTATTTCTTTCAGAAATTGAAGCAAGGAGTCAGTACATAATCAGTAAAAGAGAGAGATTGGAATCACTTCATCTGAACGTGGAAAGCCATGAAAGCCAACAGCTTCCTAAAGGAACAACCTAAATTCAGCATTCCGCAGTGGATTGTAACACAGTATGAGATGATTGGTGTATTCTCTACTGAAAACTTTTAAATCAGGTGTATCTTCCTAGGCTAGTCATTACAAGGAAAAGTTTGAGAGCTCATGTAGGGATGAACAGGAAAGTGCAAGCACTTTTTAGAACCTAACTTTGAACTTTTAATCCTTGACAAATATCCAGTGCTAAATCCACTTTTTTCTCCATTCAGAGCTATCACACTGGAAAACACACTGGTGATCTTGTCGACTGTGGCCCCTGATGCGGGAAGGTACTATGTGCAAGCTGTAAATGACAAGAATGGGGACAATAAAACCAGCCAGCCCATCATGCTCACTGTGGAGAGTAAGTGCTCTTTTGGGTGAAAAGTGGGGAGAGGGCTTTGGATTCCAGTTGACTGATTTTCTGAAAAGGTTTGCTTGCCTTTTTAGCAACAGTCTGGTAGACACCAATTCAGTTGGCACAGGAGAAAGATCATGTACCTGCTCCATGTGTCACTGCTTCTTCGCAGTGGAAGAGCAAACTACAACATCAAACTATTTATCAATATCTAGTCAGGAACAAATGTAACAGTGTTATTGTTATTGCCATAAACACCAACATCATTCATCCTGACTAGACCCATGTTATTTTAATTTTCTATATGACAAAGCAAGTAAGTCATGCTCAGGCCCATTCAAGTGGAGCCAGGACTTTACTTTAGCATCCACTGAATCCTTTCAGGATCTGCATATAGAGAAATACAACTTTTTCAGACAGAGGGACAGCTGAGCGATCAAGACATCAGCCACTGAGTATTGTGGATGAAGGTTCTGTCCTTCCCAGAAAGAATCAGAGAGTTTGATTTTGACAACTTTACACCTGGTAGAGACCACAGTTGTGCACACAACACACATTACAAAGGGATTGGCAACTTTGAATAGTGCTTTGGCCATCTTTCAGGCAGTTCTGGTAAAAATTGTGGTACAAAAGAGAATGGCTGGAGATGGTTTTGACTCCTTGCCCAACACTTTCAGCTCCCAACAGTTGACCAAACAATCATTTGAGGAGCTGCTGGAGAAAAAAAAACCTTATGCAGAGTCTTTCTTCCACATTTTGTTTTTAATACTCTCAAAGGACAAGGGGATGGGCAGAGTGTGTTGGGTGGCAACAGAAGTCAGAGAATCATGGTGGGGTGGCATTGATAATAGACCATAAAAGCAAATATGACAGCTGTGCATGATTGATGGACTATATGTTGCTGGGACATGTCCTAGAACTTTGAGACACTGCCTGCATTTGACAATGAAATTGTTCGTTTTCAGTGTGCTTTCTGCAAAAAATGAAAATGTGTATAAGATTGCAGCCTGAATCTCTTGTCACTTTAAGGATCTGGAAGGGCTGTCTGAATAAATGCCGGCCACACCATTTCAAGAGGCTAGCACAGTATGAATTAATTTAAACCTAAGTGCTGCAGCTAAGTGGGAGGTGGGCTGAAGTTTATGCCTTGCTTATTTTCTGGTGAACCAATGGTCCCTAAAGCTCAGTTTTGTCGCCATTGTCTCTTTGCACCTGGCTTCTCTGATGCTTCTGCTGGCTCGGGCCCAGATTTAATTTGCAGTAAATCTCTGGCAAAGTGGCTGGTGCTGACTAAACATTTCTACGGGCTCTGAATTTATTTAGACACTTTGGGCCATAAGTATGAGAGCTAGGAGGCTTTCATTACATCACCAGCTCAGCCCTCCCCTCTCCCCTTTCCCATACCTGCATTGGCTTCTTGATAGCAGAGTGCTTGGCTGCAGAACTGAGCCTGGGAATCTGCATGGCTATAGCCTCTGTAAAGTCTCTAAGGGAATTCTCCCAGGACATGTGAATCCTCTTTCCCTCTGGATGTTTATTTCACAGCTGTTTTATGTTTCCCAGATTTGGCTTTATATCCCTTTTCCCTTCTTTGCCCCATTAATTTGAAGAGCTGTACCTCAGAGTGCAATAAACACCATAGTGCATGCCTTTATGGATTCAGCTATATCAGCAACTTGCAATTGTAGTCAAGAACTGGAGGAGCAGGGGGGAGTTATCACAGCAATTATTTTATTTTATGCACTTACCCTGTTGCAGCTTCTCTTGCTGCTGCTTTCTCTCTTCCCCTCCTTTCCTTTCCAATGCCAATTGCCGATGCCCAGCTACAGATCACAGCAGGTGACAGGATTTAGCAGAAAGTTATGGGGAAGGTAGGTATGGAATCTTAATATTGTTTTCAAAGATTTCAGCTCATCAAGCTGTATGGTGGGAGCTAAAATCCTGCCCTGTAAAGACACCTCCATCTTGCTGACTTTGATGGGGGAGCTTGCCTGCGCTCCATCGCTAAGTGGATGGGCCAACCAGTCTCCAACAAAGTCTGATGCATTCTTCTCCCCCCCCCCCTTCTCGGTGCAGAAATGCCACTCTCACTCACACCTTTCAAGTGTTTGTTGTGACTCAAAAACTGCATGCAGAACAGGCAGCGCCCTTAAGCGGCACTTGAAACGTGAGAAGTCATGCCGCCTTCTGCTGCCCGCTTGGTGCTTCTTTGCTATTTTATTCTTCTGAATGGGAGTTTTAAGAAGGGACATAGGGTCTCTCTGTCAGGAAGAAAGAGTCAGTAGAGTGGAGCAAAACAGGAGAAGAAAAGAGAGGAGAATTAGAGACAATTGGGTAAATGAGATATAGGACCAGCAACCGGTGTTTCTTGCCCCTACTAAGTGTAAACTGCTACAGTGGCCTGGTGGGTGAACAGCCTTGGACCAGGTAAGTATCATCTAAGAAAGAAGGTTGGGCCAAAAGAGAGAAATAAATAGTAATCAGGTAGAACGAGATAGGCTTCTTAAGCAATGTGGTTTAATCTGCAGTGATTTCTGTTTGCACAATCAAACCACAGCCTGCTTCAACTAGCCTTAAGCAAAAAGCTCAGTGGGATATTACTACTCTTCTTCCCCTGTGAGATTTCATCTGTTATTTCTGACATACCTCCAAATAGATTTCTCCAAATGCTTTCTCACTTGATAGCCTCCCAATATGGGGTAGCTACAACCTCTGGAATTCAAATTTGTGGGAAGTTGGAAGACGTTCAACTAGAATAGCAATAATAGTATCTATTTTCTGAGCTCCTACCTAATCATGGTACAGGTATACACATGGACTTCTCATGGGTAAATCTTGGATGCATTGGACGCTCCCGCAAGATGGCTGCAAGAATATTTTGGACAGACAGAGTCAAAGCTTGTAGGAGGACTAGTAGATGGTGCTAATGTCACACAGTCATGGAAAGAAGAATGTTAGGAATATACAAGAGCGGTGCGGCATGTTGCTGAATCTGGAATCTATTGTAGATAGAATAGCTGTGTGAGATGGAAATGTACAGGAAGAGTGGTAAAGTTTTTTTATACAATGAAAATCACTTCCAAAATGTAAATTAAGACATATACATATATATAAAATGATTGTTTCTTATATATAAACAGTGAATATTTTTGTGTAACAAATGAACTACTAACTGGTATACCATTCCACTTTTTTTTCACAGATGTAGGCGGTCCAGCTGACCCCATTGCACCAACCATCATCATTCCACCCCGCAATACTAGCGTAATCTCTGGGACTTCTGAAGTGACTCTGGAGTGTGTGGCCAATGCTAGGTAAGTCTGCCTGACTGCTATCCTCTGTGACTTGTGACTCCGAATTACAATGAGGGCTCCTTTGTATTCCCCATGTGCCATGGCCCACAGCCCACTAATTGCTTCTCAAGAACATAACTGCCTATCCTTGATGTTCTCCCAGCCTACTGCAAATTCAGCCTCCACCCACCTTTAATTGCTCCACTCCAAAAAGGATGTTTCCCAACTTCTGCCAGCAATATTGTACCAAAGAGTCATTCTGCAACAAATCATCCCAAGATAAATTTGGGGGTGGAGGCCTACTTTGCTCCAGTTGGCCCCATGAGGCTTTTTTTGGCCCACACTCCACATGGTTGCAGGCCACAGACTTTAATGGCCATGAGTGAGAGTCGGGGTTTCTCATTGTGCCAAAAGGTTTCTCTCCTGCTTTTCTTACCAACACATTGAAAGGGATCCATCTTCACAAGCTTCTCTGCTAATCAGGCCACTCATCAAACTACACATCATCTGGAAGAAAGGTGGGATTCCAGTATCCAGTGGCATCAGTGACTACAACCGGCGGTTGACCATCCTTAATCCCTCCCTAAGCGACAGTGGCTACTATGAGTGTGAAGCTGTGTTGCGCAGTAGCAGCGTACCCTCTGTGGTTCGAGGAGCTTATCTCTCTGTGCTGGGTAAGAAGAAGAATCTTTGCTGAGTTTCTTTGCCTAAAGGGACTACTCGTCAGTTGGGCAACCACATCAGGCCAGCTGCTGCCGTAGTCCTTTGCTTCAGCACTGCGGTCGTCAGCCACTCAAAGCATTGCCCTAATTCCCAAGTACCGCTTTTCCATTTATGATGTGACATTAGTCATTCCTTAAAGTCATACTCCTGTTCAGACTCAGTGTCAAGCAACCATCATGTTTTTTATCACCCAATATTATCCTATATCCAATAACATGTCAGGCTTGGCATTTCAAATGATTTTAAATGATGGTTTGACATACAGGACATTGCATTTGGACAGTGGAATATCAAGCAGGATGTATCAGTTTTACTACCATTGCAGATATGTGCCTAAAGATTGATTGGCATCATATCCACCCAGTCACTCTGATCATAACTCCGTACATCCCTCTAATTTTAACTTGACATGATATAGTTGTCTTCTTATCCCCATTTTAGTGCCAAGGCCTTGATACCTTTGGGTTTTCTCATCCAATGTGGAAGTAATATTTCCCATCTTCTCCCCGTTCATGTTTTCCTGTGCACACAATATTTGGCGCTTTGGTGGTGACTGAACTGCTGATGTGGCAGGGGCTGAGATCAGCTCAATTCCTACTAGCCACTTTTAGCTAATACAGGCATGCCCCTTCCTCCTCTGCATTGTGTAATGGCAGCTTCCACGATGTTCTTGTAACTTGCTGACTTGAGCCAGTGCTATCTTCATGCACAACCTATGAAATCATACTTTACAGAATACTTACATATGTTTGGATTCTAGAATCCTACAATAAAATGGCATAAACGTTCTGACTATATAGTTCTGAATATTTTTCTAATATCCTCCTTCCCTCACAGCATTTACTTCTTAATTTATGCCTATCCCACAACTCCAGCTTACACTGATCAGTACTCCCAGATCCCATGGTTCATGCTGGCAAGTTGCAAGGAAGTTTTCCCTTGTAGATTCGCTTTCCCCCATGTAAACTCAATCTGCCCCTATTCATGCTGGCAGGTCAATTAAGTGCACCAACTACAAGAGGAGGACTCTCTTCCTTCAGCCAATGCCCCTCTCATCAGCACATCTGACAGCAAACCCTTGAAGAGATGTAGGAGAGAAGAGCAAGCATCTTCTTCCCCCTCAAATACGCTACATCATCTGCTTGTCTGCTGACAAAATGGACCAAAATAATCTACAAGAAAAATTAGTGGATAAGCTAAGAATCAAGATAAATAAGAACAGTTTCCCCCCCCCCCAAAAAAAAGGATAGGCAGGGAGCCCATATAAGGACCTCAGAAGACTTTAATAATGGAAAAAGTGGAAATGAAAACCCATTAATCAAAAATGCTCTGACTGAAGGGATCAGATAAGTTAAAGAAGGAGGATGTGTTGATAGATAAGGATCCAAAGAACAGAATGAGGCTCACAGTCAAACGTTGCCTCCTCCCCAATCCATGTTAGGGAGAGGGATTGGTAGAAGTATTTCTTGCTGATAAGAAATCCACAAATCATGCACTTAACTTGTCCTGAAATAAAATGTTAGGGCAGGTAACTACTTGCTGGCCTTATTATGAGGGAAGAATAGAAACCGACAAATAGAGCAAATAATGCTAGTATACTTTTATGTCCCCTTAAAGACTGGAGGAAAGCACATAACACGTGGCCTGCCAGTATCCATAGTATGCAATAATGAGGGCAGGCTTTCAATTACTTCAATAGTAACTCGGTGATGCTGTAAAGATGCTGTACATCACCAGTGGGGAAATGGCCTGAGTCTTATTTAAGTTCAGGTCAGGTTATCTTTGTTCTTTAAGAACAAACTTAATAAAAGTCATTCAGCAGAAATAATTTACAAAGATATGGAAATATCTCATGTGGAATTGTACTGTGAAGCCATAAGAAATTGATACTAGATCTTAGGCAGGAAATACTTTCAGATCATTTGTTTTGTTTTGGGGGTTTTTTTTAGTGAGAGATGACAAAGATAGAAGCTGAAAATTTTTGAATGTAACCATGACATTTCATTTTTAAAATTTATATGGAGAATATTCGACTGGTCCTATGTTTGATTTTTCTTTTACAGAACCACCCCAGTTCACCAAGGAACCAGAAAGACACATTACAGCTGAGATGGAAAAAGTAGTACAGATTCCATGCCAAGCTAAAGGTAATTTCTTCTGTTATATTAGCGATTGTTTGGACCAATGGAGTTTCGAATCAGAATAGTTAACCTTATAATCGTAGCCATCCACTATGCTGATAAATGACCATTTCCGTTAGATCTACATTTGGCAGATTTTATATAGGAAAATGAATGAAGAAAATGTTCAGATACTCACCATTCACATTTCTGTTCCCACTGAGCTGCAGCAAAACCATGAAAAAACTAAGTAGGACACATTGATACATGCCTTAATGTACAGGCCAGTGTTTTTCAATCTTGATGACTTAAAAAAAAATGGACTTTAACCTCCAGAATTCCTCATCCAGCAAGCTGGATGATGATTTCTGGGAACTGAAATCCACACATCTTTAAAGTTACTAAGGTTGAAAAACACTACTCTACTCTAAGATAAGGGCCCTATGCTGAACAGCAGCCTTATTTGCCATAGCACTGAATATGTCACTCCCTAAGCTTTCTGTGAAAAAAAACCCAGAGAATTTGAAGACTTGTGAAAAGGAAACTGTGACCTTAAACTGCAAGCTAGAGTAAGGTGACCAACTTTTTTACAATGAAAAGGAGGATACAAATTGAAGAAAAAAATATTGTACATAAAAGAAACATTTTATTCATTGCAACAATAATACAGAATACACTATAATATAATAAATGCAGAGTGGGCCCCGCAACTCCCAAAGCACCGGCTGCACCGGCTCCGGCCCCGGGGGGCAGCCCGCCATCGACACACCCCGCCTGCAGCTGCCCTGCCAGCACCACCGCCGACCCTGCGCAGCCCCATGTAGAGTGAGCCCCGCGGCTCCCACAGCACGGGGGCAGCCGGTTGCTGCCATCCTTCACAGCCCCACTGCCCCTGCCTCTTGCACCCGCAGCCATTATTGCCCTAGCAGGGCCAAAGATCAAGAGAAACTTACCGTGGCGTCGCCGCTCCAGTCTCCTCCAGGTATCTTTGGGACTAACTAGGAGATGGTGTAGTTGGGTAGCAGGGAGGGGTGCAAAGTTCCTGCCAATTCACCTTTGCTGCAGACAACTTGCATGTGCAAAGTTTGCCAGCTGCGCTCAGCAGCAATTTGGCACACTCAGCAGCAATTCTTATTGGCTTTCGAAAGCCAATAGGGGGGAGTAGCACAGCTCATGCAAAAGTTGAAAAAAAAAACATCAAAAAAAGGTGCCAGATTGCCATTCTGAGCGTTCTATGAGAAAAAAAGCCCTGCAGATTACTCTTCAAATATTGAAAAGGAGGACATGTAGGAGGACACTTTTCGAGGGGGGACAGAACTTACAAAAGGAGGACGGTTGGTCACGTTAAGCTAGAGGCCTGATTTTAAGTTGCAGCAAACAGTTTCTATGAATAGACCATCAAGGTTTTGTTTTGTGTTGTTGTTTCATGGTAGCTTTTGTTTGTTGGTATATTTGATAAATCTAAGTATATCGTCCTTCCATAGATAATTGTAGCAGCAGGGCTAAAGTATAGGATAAAAGGTGGGAGGTGTCTATTTTCTCCTTCCAAAAGTTACCTACTTTTTATATTCCCAGGCCTGGCCCTCCTGCTTGGTGTAGCTGCTTGGTAGTTTCAGCTGCTCTCACTTGTCCATTTGGGGGATGTTATTGTCAAGTATCCTTCCCCTTCAACCCTAGCATGTAAGAAGGGAAAAAAATTACCACAGCCTAAATTCTTGATCCTTGTAGCTTTGAGGCATATGCTGGGGAAATCAGCTCCCTTCCTTTGGGAGTTGGTTCAAAAGCACCCTCTATAATTCGAAATCAGCTTCATTAAAAATAGGAAAGAATAAAAAGTATCTCTTTTTAAATTTGAGCCGAGGTAACCGTCAGTAAATAAATGCATGTATTTGCATAGGATGGTTGCTAAGACAAATATAATAAAATTAAGATATAACAGTTAACCAAGACACGTACTTATTCTGTATGTCTAGCACACACATTCAATTCAAACCATGGTTTAATTATAAGTTGTTCCTAGCTAATCATGTTACCTATACCTTAGAATTGAAGAATCCATTCAGCAAACAATTCCTTCCTTGGGTTTCCTTGATACCTTAAATCCTGTAAATTATAATCACAGTTGAGATCAATTTTAACATTGGTTTCATTTTTTTTCCTTCCCTTTTCCTGATGCATTTGTGGTTGAAACAAATTTCCCCATTTCAGTTATTCCTGGATCACATTATCAGATGATCCCTGAGGATACCAGCTGTTCTTCCTTCCGTTTCCCTGGACATCATTTTTCATCTTGCAGGGCCTGGATTTAAAAATGATTGAGATTTGGGGTGGAGGGGTGTCCCTTCTTGTATACAGGTGGCAGAACATACATTTTTTCCCTCTGATAATGTAGATTCAAACCCAGGAGGTTTGGTGTGGATTTCCTGACTTGGGTGCAATAGTCAGTTTCATTGTTGCTGGATGACAACACAGGGTGGTATGCTTTAAAAAAAAAAGATAATAAAAATAAGAAAGAACCACAATGAATAAGAGCAATAAAGTAAAAAATAGCAATAAAAGTCAACTATCCGAACAAAATTCTATTCTCATGTTTTCTTAGATGGCTGAAAAAAATATAAAATATTATCACTGAAGGAGATTTTAAGTGAGCCCTCCCTGGGAGGAGAATTCCACAAGAGTTTTCCCTTGCCACATCTTAGATGGCAAGTGTACAAAGATCTCTGTCCATAGACAGTTCTGGAAACAAGTCTTTAAATGATCATTAAATCGGGATGGCAAATATTTCACCAGCTTTTATGTGTTTGAGCACAGACGATGACATTAGACCTCCTCCTAAAGCACAATGAATGCTTTGATTTTATTCTTGAAATATTTAAAAAGACCCTGTTTCCTACTTGAGATTATTAAATCAGATTTGCTACATCATTTGTAGCAAATCTCAAATTTGTGTAGAAAATTTGATCAGGTTCTTAGAGGAGGAAGGAATAAGGCAAGCTTGTGAAATTTCATTTTTAACTTCATTCAGTTTGATCAATGAGTGCCACGGGGGGAGGGGGGGTGTTCTTCTTGAAGTCCACCCCAACTCTGATGAGTTCTGAAGAAAGAAAGATACGTTTTAATGTCTCCCGACTGTGACTCTTGGTTTAAGAAATAAAGGTTTTCAGAAGGGAAGCTACATGTATTGGTTAAATAAATAAAAATGAGAAGGAGGAGAAACATACATGCATCAGAATCCAGCCACATGAAAGCAATTAAAAAAAAAAGCCACATGGGTTTAGGCATTAAGTATCATCGTTCCAGGACTGCCTAATGCTGGCCCAGGAATTCTGGGAGTTGAAGTCCACGAGTCATAAAAGAGCCAAGGTTGCCTACCCCTGGCCTAATGGATCTCTCTGTGGCCTTCCTATCTGCCTGTTGGCCTTAATTTTTAAATAATTCACCTTTAAAATTCCTTTTTTTTTTCCGGTATTGCAGGTGTGCCTCCACCCAGCATGTTCTGGTACAAGGATGCAGTACTACTTGGAATGGAGAAGCTTGCCCGTTTCAAGCTGCTTGCCAATGGGAGCCTGCAGATCAGTGGCCTAATGCCAGATGACACAGGGATGTTCCAGTGTTTTGCCGGCAATGCTGCTGGCGAGGTGCAGTCTTCCACATACCTAGCTGTCACTAGTAAGTGTCAGCAAGTTCATTTCCCCTAGCTTGCTTTGCTGATTTTGCTGCAGTACCTTCCACTAGTGGTGCTAGTATAAGTGATTAGTAGTCAGACACACGTGCACACCCAGCTCAGTAGCGTTGAGGTATTCATAGAATAGCAATTGGATTTGTTGAGTTAGAAAGGACCCTGGAGGTCTTCTAGTCCAACCCCCTGCTCAAGCAGGAGATCCTCTATTGCAGGCGGATAGCACCCATAAAGGGAATGCAGTGTAAGAAGTGAATGTTATTTTGATAAAGCAGTGTTAATCTACAAGGAAGGGCAAAATAAGATGTCTTTGGAGAGCAGGTTCTCCCTCTCTTTCACTGAAAAATGATTCCCGCAGTGCAAAGCATAGCACGGTATCCATTATTAACCGTGAGCCCAAATGTTTCCTGTATCTATAGCCAAATATTTAATCCTACTCAGAGCATATTTTTAGATCAGAGAGTGTATTTCAGAAATTCTAGTCCTACAGTAAGATTCCTCTGGGATAAGAAGAGCTTACGTGGGGTCAGCTCTTTTGAACTATTGTATCTCTGTTCAGTTATGGTAGACTTTGGGGTGGGGTGTCAGGGAAATAAAATTCAATGTTGTGTTAAAGAGTCTGGTAGTTCAAAACTCTTCCTATAAGCATTCTTCTCATTTCTCCCTCATTACAGGCATTGCACCCAACATAACCAGAGGGCCCTTGGACAGCACAGTGATTGATGGAATGGCTGTGGTTCTCAGCTGCGAGACGTCTGGAGCTCCCAGACCGGCTATCACCTGGCAGAAAGGTAATGGTGAATTGAGAAACTCTTTATTCATGCTTTGAAAAGCAGGAGTCAGGCATGCAGGAAACTAGCATGGCGGAGCTCTGTATTTTGCAAGAAGGATTGAAGCATCCCTAGTTTTAAAAAAAAGGTTTCGGTTTCTTTTCACACAATAGAAAGTCTCCTTTTTTTCACTCCCTCTGAACTCTTTTGTGTGCCCTCAAATCTGTGAACAGTTTTTGGAAATTTATTTTATATTTGTTTATTAGAATTATTTTTTGCTGCCTTTATTGCATTGTAAGTACCTCGAGGTGGCAAACCTACCTAGTACACCTTCCTTCTCCTATTTTCCCCACAACAGCAGTCCTGTCTGATGTGCTGGGCTGAGAGAGAGTGACCAAATTCACCCAGCCAGCTTTCATACCTAAGGCAGAACTGGAACTAACTATCTCCTGGTTTCTAGGCCAACACCTTTATGTATATCAAAGAGGATCTATTTCTGTGACAGATGTGAAGGGCACAGTTGAACACCAGTCAAACTCTTATGGGAAAACCAGCTCGTTGAGGTTCAAATGGGCTGGAATAACCAATGGATTTGGTTTTTCTTAACAATTTCATAGCCTCACTGAACCTAAAACACCTCTGTGTCTTTTAAAGTTACTGACTTCCGTGTAGCATGATCCTTACAGGGCACCTTTGATCAGCTACACCAGGGAATAATGTTTCCTCTATCTATAGCCAAATATTTAATCCTACTGGAAGCATATTTTTAGATCAGAGAGTGTATTTCAAAAATTCTAGTCCTACAGTAAGATTCCTCTGGGATAAGAAAAAAATCAGAATTGAGAGCAAGGGAGATTACATTTCAAATCATAGGGAGAATTAGGGCTAAGCCACTAAAGAATTAGCTACTGTATCTATGACCCCTATTCCCATTCATTCCCTATTGATGGGGTGGGATTAGGTGGGGAAGAAAGATTCAGTCTGGGAATATTTGAGAAATAGAAATGAATAAATGATCAATAAGTAGTTTGAAAGAACAAAAAGAAACAGGCTACCCATCATTTCCAGATGTCTATGACAGTTCCAACCCACTTGACAAATTGTGTAATGGGTGTGGGAATTATAGTCCCAAATACCTGACGAGCATCAAGTTGTCATTTCCTGCAAAGGAGAGGTTCCCTACCCACCCAAAATCTATCTCTCTGCTCCCAGGCAATTCAAACTTTTCCTGCCTTTATTATGCCTCACTCAGTTGCACAGGAAAAGTTGATGCCCCCTTAGCTTTTTTTTTGCAAATCTTCATTCCAAGCTGTGTGACAAGCCAAGCTCATATTTTATGATGATGTGTTCTAAAGCCAACATTTCCTCTCTTGGGCCCTTTGAATTCATAAATCATAGGTAGGTTGAAGCTCATCTGCACATAGGAAGAAGAAACCTTTGACAAATCTGTCTATCGTTTTCTCTGTGTCTGGCTCTCTTACCAGGTTTACAGATCTCTAGGGTAGAGCTGAGATCAGAACTGGTGATTTGACAAAATCCACTGGCAGCCTCAGTGAGGGTCACCAGTGATCACGCAATAAAGTCTCCCTTTTCTCCTACAGGTGAGCGGATCCTGGCCAGCGGTTCAGTGCAGCTTCCTCGTTTTACTTTGCTTGAGTCAGGAAGCCTTCTCATCAGCCCTGCCCGGATCTCGGACGCTGGCAGCTACACTTGTCTTGCTACTAACTCCCGTGGAGTCGACGAAGCCTCTGCAGAGCTTATTGTCTGGGGTAAAAATCTCCCCTTCGCCCTCTTTACTAGCTTCCCATTTCTTTCTCTTCGGAGCCCCTTGCCTGTAATTTGTTTTGTTTCTAATCTCCTGCAATCCTCAGGATTATACTTTCCCAAATTTTATGACAAACCACCTAATAATGCCAGACTTTATTTCCCAATTATTTTTTATAGGAAACTAAGGAAGATTGAAGTGATAATCCTCCCATTTACTGTAGGTTGAGTGCTTTTTAGTGCACTTTAAAGTTAAAAATCCCCTCCACGAAGGCAGAAATGGAGGACAGCGACCAAAAGCCCTACTTTCCTTGATGATATTGAATAGCGCTGCTTTGCTCACCACAATTTTCAGCGGCCGGAGATGGGGGGGTGGGGGATGGGAGACAGACAGTATCCTGATATAGCAGAGTTTCCCACATTTGCCTTTACTTGTTCACTAAGCAATTGGTCCAGGAATGATGCAGAGATGTCATGTGCGGTTTGCCTCTCTGCCCAGTTTCTTAATGGCATATTGGTGCATTCCTATAAATGTAGCACGTCATAAGGAATCAAATGATAAGTTTGATCCCACAGTGTCATGTTATGGGAACTATCAGTGCAATTTTCCTGTTAATCTGCAACGTAGGAAAGCACAGATGTGTGCTACCATCTTAAGTTCAACGGCCCATGTGGGTTGTGAGTGTCTAATTGTTTTTGAGAGCATATCCATCACCTTTCAAAACCAGTTTTAACTCTGTCTAATAAAGCAGTTGCCATTAGGTCTGCCAAGCTCCTGGTTGAGGTGGATTGGTTCCCCCTGCTGGCCCTAAATGGAACCATAAGCTCTGAGGATCTATTTTGTTTTATCTGTTTGATGGTTCTCACCCTTCCTATATGAAATATGAATAATCTTGCTCACATGGTGAATTACCCTATAAAGTCCACCCTGTATTAACCACCCCCACATTCCCTTTTGTAGATCTAGCAGGCATTTTGAACTTCAGTTCCCCTCGGCTTCAGTCAGGATAATTGGCAATGCATTGTGAGAGCCACAGTGCAAAATATCTGGGGCACTTGCTTATTCCTTCCCTCAGTGTATACGGGAGGCAAGTACAAAGCTCACATTCGGTGAAAAAGCCTCCTTTGTGACAGCACTTAAGTGATGGGGGTTTCAGCCCGGCTGGATTAAATAGCATGACTGATCAAGTCAGCTGCTTCATCAGGCAATTGACCTCCCCTGTGCTGATAGCACAGTTACCAAGGAGTCAGATAGGAAGTGGCCATTTTCATTGTCCTTCCAGTTGCCATTAAGGAGGCTGGGAAGCTGTCATTGCCTAAAGAAGCCCTTTGCTTGCAAGATTACTCTAAAACTATCTTTTTCAGTAGCTGAACAGAAAGGGATAATTCCCCCTTCTATATTCTAAATATTGCTGACTGAAAGGAGATAGTTAACTCCGTCTGGCCTCCCTTCCACTTTAGGTGTTTGCACAACACAGAGAAAACTCCTCGTTTGGTCCAGGTGTTTTTTAAATTATATATTTATTTATTTCATTTCATTTCTATGCTGCCCGTTTCCCTCAGTTTGGTGTATTGTGTGAACAGGACCACCTTGTATGTAGGTGGATGGATGGACTGATGTTGCTTGGTTGGAACCAAGGATCCAGTGTAATTGTAGCAAGCGGGGTGTTTTCCTTTGTTCTGTCAATTTAAATTTAGAGCTTGGGTGTATGATATTTGTGTTAGTGGTTTCACCATAACTTGGATTGTACCAGATGATATATGTCAAGCAGTCTGGGGAGAGGAATAGTTGCAGCTAAAGATTGAATTAAGGCCCCTTTCATTTTATGCATTCAAAAATGATGGGGGGATATTTGTTTGTTTAATCATTACAATTATGACATAACAGATCTGGTTTTGGGGCCTCCTGCTCCTAGTCTTACAAAAATTATGCCTTTATCACCAGAACTTAGCATTCTAGGTGTTGAATCCTGATTTGATATGGAACTATGTGTGTGTACCTCAGGGGTAGGCAACCTTGACTCTTTTATGACTGGTGGACTTTAACTCCCAGAATTCCTGAGTCAGGAATTCTGGGAGTTGAAGTCCACCAGTCATAAAAGAGCCAAGATTGCCTACCCCTGTGCCTATCCCATTTGGATTTGTATTCAAACTGTGTCCATGTGTCTTCTGTCTGTTTGTGTTGGCAGCCCGGACTCGTATCACCAACCCACCTCAGGATCAAAGTGTCATCAAAGGCACCAAGGCTTCAATGACCTGTGGAGTAACACATGACCCCAATGTGATAGTTCGGTAGGTGACCTTTTCACATTTGTGCTAACGTGAAGGAAAAGTGAGAAAAATAATGAGAGCCAAGTAAAAACTATCCATTTTTATAATACTAGCTGAGGATTCTCAAAAAAAAAAAAAAGCTGAATGTTCTGGTACTTTAAATTTCCAAACTTCTTTATAAGAAAAAGAAATATTCAGCTTAGAAGCAATGCCAAAATCCCGTATATACTCTAAGTGATTTCATGAGGAGCATATAAATTCCTGAGTAGGGGTTTGCTCAGATTTCTCTTGCTAGGAAGGAATAGTTTATTGACTGCAGCTCATCTGGCCATTGCACCTTTCTTCATACAAATTAGTCCCTTTGAAAAGAGACACTCTCTAGCCACCTCTGCAATCTGGGAACAATCAGGACTCCATTTATCAACAATGCTTTTCTAAGATTGATGTTGGAGTCTTGCAGTATGACAAAGCAAGGCATCTCCTAGCCACATCTTTATGCTCTTTAAGAACATTTATTGAGAAACATAATGCAAAATACATACATGCAAATTCATAGACCTATATTGCCACCTGGTGCTCAGCTTAGTTTTGAGATTGAGTCAAATTGTTGTGTTGCACTATTGAGTGAAAGCACATCATAGCGTGCCTTTTCGGAAAGATCTCCTTTCCTTCTCTATAGAGGGTGTTAGCCAGGCTGCTAAGTCTGCCTAAGTTCACGCTTCATATTAAGTCAAAATATGGTTTTGTTTTAGCTTAACGTGGTTAATCCAGTTCATACGGTTATAGCTTAGAGCAAAGTGTGAACATAGCCAGTTGTCATCTATTCTCCAAGTTAGGGTTAAACAAATATATAAACCCATTTGTGAACAGTATGTTACATTGTAGGAATACATATTAAGAGATAACTAACCTGCATAAATATCCATGGGGGGGATGTGTCACATACTAGTACACTAGTACTAGTGTACATACTAGTTTTTGATGAGCAGTCCATCACTTGCAGAAGAAGCTGGAGTGCTCTAGAAAGTAGTTTAGACAAAAACTAGGATTAGAGGATTAGATCATTAGATCATTGCAATCAGATTTGAGAGATGATCTGCTTCTAGTTCTTTCCAACCTGGCTTAGGATATCAGGAATCAATCCAAGATTCCAATAGCAATCTGGCTACACTAGGAATAGTTGGCAGGGGAGGAAACTTTTATCACCATGCCTGGTTTCTTTTTCTATAGGTACATGTGGGAGAAAGATGGCACAATTGTGAACACAGAGAACATGCCACGCATGCGTCTGGAGAGCACAGGCACTTTGCACATTGCCCAGACCTGGTCAGGGGATATTGGCACCTATACATGTCATGTGATATCTGCTGGAGGCAACGACTCTCACAGTGCCCACTTGCGAGTCCGGTAAGGCTACCCTTCTTCAGTACAGGTATAAAATCTGAAATTCCAGGGCAGGACGTGTTCCCCAAAAATCTTTGATGTAGCTACCAGAGAGACCACCCAAAAGTAACCTAATTATAGCATGATTGAGGGAGAGAACTATTATATAGAACATCGGGAGGGATCAAATTAAAATGTATTTTAACTACGTGTAAACGTAAATGAAATCATACTTTTTTGGAATGTGGGCTAGGCATACTACTCAGAAGCCAAGTACAGCTATCAGGTAATGAAGGTGGTGCATTCCCGTTCTAGAAATGAGGAACCAACACATTCTGATGCACAGATGAACCAGAAATGGCTAAAGTATGAGTGAGGCTGCTGGAAGAGATGATCAAATGCGTTCCAGTGCTATGCATTCATATTTTCCTTTATATCTTGCACGAATACATAGCTATAAGTCAAGTGGTATGCTCTTTTGGCCTCTTGAAATCACCATAATGTTTACTTCCTTATGAGCCGTTCAGCACCTAGTTAGACTCTAATTTCTCTCACCATGAAATGATACGCAGTCAGAGGTCTTCCACAATGTTAGTTCAGCAGCATAGGAGTAATTATAATGTGGTACAGTCGCTGTCGACATTTGCACACATATTAGTACGCCACACTGCCACATGTGTGTTCCTTACCAAATCATAATCTACATTATTTATAGCCTAATCATACTCTGTATTATTCATAAGCATGTCTGCAGCATTTACAGCACACTACACTGAAGCAACTTTCACACTGCAAACCTGAATATCAATAACATTTTATTCATTGAACAAGCATAAGGCGCTCCTATTTGAAAATCTTGATAATTGCTCCACAGAAATGACACGACACTGTTGGCTGGTAAAAAATCAAGGGCTCTAAATATCCCTTGGGAGACTTCGTGCTCCCTGCTATTTCTCCACAAATCTCTGACCCACTGAATCAACACTGTGATTAATTTGCTCCATTATAAACACCAACAGCGATAGCCAGTCTAACCTTGTAATGCATGGTGGCTTGGAGGTCTTTTTCTACATAGCCTTTCCTTCCTAATGAATGCCCTCTACTTTCATGGCTCTTTGTTATGGCAGCTTCTAAAATATGTTCTTCTACCATTATCTTCATCAGGCAGCTCCCACATGCACCAGAAAACCCCGTTGCCAGGCTAAGTACTGTAGAGAAACGGGCCATCAACTTGACATGGACCAAACCCTTTGACGGAAACAGCCCATTGCTACGTTACATCCTTGAGGTCTCCGAAAATAGTAAGGCACCATCTTCCTACCATACAGTTGCCAGGTACAACTTGCCCATGTTCTTGTGGCAGACAGAACTGGAGGATCCCTTCTCAAAAGTGATGGGGGAAAAAATCCTGTGTGGGACTGTGGCAAAATGGGTGTTTGGGAGTCCTAATTTTCTTGCATATAGTAAAAGTTTTTTGTTGCAATTTGTGGCTCGTTCTTTTAAGTGTTGCATGTCTCAAGAATCCATCATAGTTTAAAAAATACTTCTTATGCCCATTGCTGCTAGTAAGCTTACAGGACTACTTTGTATTGAACAGGCTGATTTCCTTTACCCCTGGCAAAACCCTGAGATGATTATTTCTTGACTGATCAAATTATCATAACTTCTTTCCATAGCAGTGATCTTTAGAATGCAGCCAGGAGCAGAACTGGATCCTGGCTTTTAAAGAATGGGATACTGTGTAAGATTGAACCAGGCTTGGAATTTTCTCTGCAAGTACTGGATCATTCTGGACAAAATTTGGTCCATTGGAACACTACCTAAAAGAATCTTTTAAAGATGGGCAGCATACATTGTATTACCATAATTCTTCCTAAATAACTTTCCATAGGATTATATCTTACCTCTCTCTCTCTCTCTCTCTCCCTCTCCCTCTCCCTCTCTCCCTCTCTCCCTCTCTCTCCCTCCCTCCCTCTCTCCCCCCCTCTCTCTTTCTCTTTTTTTCTCTTTCTCTCTTCAGATGCTCCCTGGACAGTTCTTATGGCCAGTGTGGATCCTGAAGTAAATTCAGTGCTGGTGAGAGGATTAGTTCCTGCCCGCTCATACCAGTTCCGCCTTTGTGCTGTTAACGATGTGGGCAAAGGCCAGTTCAGCAAGGACACTGAGAGGTGAGATGCCTATATCTGACATGGGCAGCTGCAAATGTAATCACTTGCAAAAGTAGAAGGGCTGATATGATTTTTAAAAATGTAAATGTTTTGATGTATCTCTACCAACTTCCATTTTGTAAGAGAAGAAGCCGAATATATGTGGGTGAGCATTGCCCTAGCTCACACTTATGTATAGAGATACTTGTGATTGCACCAGGGAAAGCTATCATTAACTAATGTTTAAAGAAGAGCATAGTCACGTGATATGGCAAGACAGCAAAACTTGGATTATTATCAATAGTATGTCCCAATGTTGTATGATACAGACACAGAGCTTAGCAAAACCAGATAATTTCTTCCTTTATAGCAAGATGGAGTTAAAGAGTATTTATGTAAGCAAATGACTGCACCATTTAGTACAGTTCATGCATGCACAGGACACTATTTTGATATGGCTGAGATTGGCTTGGCTTCATAAGGACTAAATGTTAAGCATTAAGGTGTGTGTGTGTGTTAAACCATACTCTGAGCCAGCTTTGAAACATGTCTCCTGCATTTTGTCTCCTTCCATAGGTTGTCCCTTCCGGAGGAACCCCCCACAGCACCCCCACAAAATGTCATTGCCAGTGGTCGCACAAACCAATCTATCATGATCCAATGGCAGCCACCACCTGAAAACCACCAGAATGGCATTCTCAAGGGATACATCATTAGGTAGGTAGATATTAACATATGGGTGGCTAGGTCATCAGGGAAGATAAATCCTTGGAAGCTTTTCTAATCTTTTACTGATGGGTGCAAAATTGGAAATGCAGTGGCTGCCTACTGGGCTTAATTGTTCCTACTGATGATCTTATTGATTCAGCCATCATCCTGTTGTTCTTTTTCCAGATTTTGCCTGGCTGGTCTGCCAGTTGGCTACCAGTTCAGGAACATTACAAATGCTGACGTCAACAATCTACTGCTTGAGGACCTAATCATTTGGACTAACTATGAAATTGAAGTGGCTGCCTACAACAGTGCTGGATTGGGTGTCTACAGTGCCAGAGTCACAGAATGGACTCTCCAGGGTGGTAAGTTATGATACAAAGTCATACGAGGAGAGAGGAAGCCCTACTTTTGTTGGTGAAAGGATCAGTTCTTACCCATTCATACCAGTTCCATTTTCTTCCACTATAGCTCTCAAAGCCATGAAACATTGAAAGCAGTTGTAGTAGGCTTAAAAAGGCAGGAACGTACCATGCTGAAGATTCAGTATACCCTAGCACTAGACAACTCCCTTTAAATCTCAGTCACGTTTTGCTCTTATAGCCTTGATTCCAAGTGTAAAGCTGATGAACATAAAATGATGAACCTTATAGATGATGCTGAGATGCTTTCATTCAATTTCTCCTTTCACAGTTCCCACCGTGTCTCCGGGTAATGTGCAGGCTGAGGCCACCAATTCTACTACCATTCGTTTCACCTGGAACCCTCCTAGCCCCCAATTTGTTAACGGCATCAACCAGGGCTACAAGGTAAGAGGCAGTTCAAGAAGGGAGAGAAATGCCATTTACTTCTAAGGCATTTAGAGCTATAGTCAACAGCTGTGATAAGTCTTACTTTCTCTCTGGACATCCACCACATGCATTGGGACTCTGGGTAGAAATTCTGGGAATTGCAACCCCAGCACATCTGGAGTGTGAGCTTGGGGAAGGCTGGTTGTAACCCCAAAGTTCTCCTGGTTCCTTATGAGATTGGACAGATGTTGAAAATTTCAGAATGAACATTTCTGTGGCAGTAAACAGAGGCACGAACTATATTTTGAGATGATTGACTGGATAGTTATTTTTGTTCCAGGAAATCTAAGTGAAATAGAATTAAGATAAGATAGTTCAGACATCTACATCAGAGCTCTGATTCTGCCTCTTTCCCCTAAGTACGAACAGGATCTATAGTCATCATTCTTTCATCACCTAAAAGCTATATAACCTATTGTCTTCCTTCAAGAAGGGGCCAGGCATTCCTGCTGTTTTCTGCTTGCACTTCTTGATGGGAGTCAGTAGAGTTACATAGCTTTCTGGTTTCTTTTCATTAACAGTTTTAGCAGCCTTAATCATGGCACAGAGTTGTCCCTGGGTCAACTAATGATCTTTGTCTTATCTGCAAATTTCATCTAATGGGTTCTTTCTATCCTACTAATCAGTGTAATTTACAAATGGTACAAAATCTGACTCTCCTTCTCCTTGAACAGTCATAGGTGAATTATTAACAATAAGCAGATCCAACTTTCCCCCACCCACCAAGCAACCCCTAAGTAGTCTTATTTTATGACTTATTTTAAGACTTAAGTAAGACTAGCAAAATACGTCCTTGCTTCTGTTTTTTTTTTTTTTTCCTATCATCCCAGAGCTACCGGTAGCTATAAAAGATCATTTTAATTATGTGATTCCTCCTTAGCAGTGTTAAATGGGGATCTCTTGTAAGAACTAACCATTTTCAAGGCTGCTACTTTACTGTATATATTATAGGAAGCTAGTGCACCCATGTGCTCCAAAATGAAATGGCAACTTGGATTTTAAAATGAAAGTTTTTGCCACTGCTTTTTTTTTTTGAGGAAGCTTCTTGTCTAAGGTAATAGAGAGAATAGCCAGTAGACAGAATACAATTAATGATACTTAAACTCTCAATGCATACAAATCTGGAGAATCCTCTTAGTTTACACTTATTTGATAATCAGCTCCTTTAAAATAAGACCTTTCTTAGTTCTCCTTTAATTAAAAATCTGTTTTCATGGCTTCAAGCTTATCTGTTAGAATATATTTACAAAAAGATAATACTTGTATGGAAGACTTGACTTGTGTGCTTAATTCTGAATTGTAATTAATTCAGATTTGCATTAATTAAATTGAATTTAAATAATTAAAACTTGCTTCTTAATCTACTTCAGAGGAGTTTGAAAATTTAATTGCTGCCAAATGAGATAACCAACCTTAAGAAGGATACTTAACATACTTATTAAATGTCACTTAGTATTTTTGATTAGTATTTTGGAGGCCTAATTAGTATCTAATTAACTTGCTATAGGCTATCTTGCACTCTGCCAATTAAGCACCCAAACATTCTTGCATGTAATGCCATCACAAAGTAGTTGATTATGCATTGTTGCAGCATCAGTTAATCGGACTTATTTTGGAAGGATAAAAACACACATTAAAACTAAACTAAATTTTTCATAATTGATATTTAAGCAACTTTCAATAAAAATTATGTTTTTGAGCCTGTCTTCCCAACCATTCTCCAGCTTTTTTAAAAAGCTGTTTCTGGTAGATGTTGTAAACAGCCATCAAAGCTGCCTGTATTGTCCTATGTTTGGTAGTCCTTCATTCGTTTGAAAGGTATCTTCTTTTATGCCTATTTTATGGACAAACTAACTGTTTTTCTTTTAAGAAAAGTGATTTTCTTTCAAGCTGCATATCCAAGAAGAGAACACTCTGGTTTCTTTTATCATTTGTGTTGCTCTTCCAAACAATAAAATAAGGATTGATGAACTCCAATAAGCAATAATCTGAAATTCAGTTACTCCTGGAATGTGGACCCAGCAGCTTTTCAGACATCCCACAGAATAGAGGCAGAATTCCAACGTTAAGAGGGGAAGTTATGCTTCATTTCTCACTGAACTCCCATGAGTATCAGTGTCAGTGCATATCAGTGAAGCTCCTAGCTAAGAAAGGTGGAGGAAGTTGGAGGAAGAGAGTAAGTGTAAGTAAGCAGTTTCCCAAGTTCTCTAGGCCTTGAACACACCTCATAGACTTGCAATTTTTTTTCCTTCCTCAGAGTTCATATAACATTTTCCTCCCACAATAAGGAACTAAAGAGTCATACAAATCCCTCTTTCACCCTGCCAAATTTATATCAGCAGGGATTCAGATTCTTCAGCAATTATCCTTCTCCGAGGGTTATCATAGAACTCATTGCTTTGAAGGAAATTGTACAGTAGTCAGTCTGCATTTAAAAAACTAAATTTAAAGCTCGTGGTTTGATATAATTACTGTCCAGCTTCTACTAATATTCCATTCTGGATAAATGCACTATGGCTACTTAATTCCTGGATGGTACTGTTAATTCAGGTTTTTTTCCCTTTCTGGATTTCAGCCCTTTTTTCTCTCTCTCTTTGGCCCTGATGGAGACCTGATATTCTCTTTGGACCACATTTTCCATGGCCTTTGATTAGGGAATACCTTTCCCTCTTTACCCCTTCTGAGCTGATTAAAAAGCAAACAGTACAATAGGTACTACTTTTCCTGTTATTTGGCTAGAAGGGGAAGGTGGCAAAACTCTTGACAAGTTCATCTGGTTAAAAAAAGACACCCATATATAAGGCACTTTACAGTTTCAGTGTCTTGGAGATGTCTAAGAGAGAGAAAAAAACCCACAAGCATTCAGCTTATTGCCCAATTCTCTATCCCTTCAGCACATTTTTTTGCTACAGAGCAAGAATTGGCAGTCTTTAATCCCAATGAATTTCTTCCCACTTGAGTTTGAAGAGACTTAGAGGAAGTAAAAAAAGATCACAGAAACAGAAAGACATAGAAGAGGATTGTTAGAATCCCATGTGGATCTCAAGCAACATTTTGACTAATAGTGCAGTAGGGATTGAGGCCAGAATCATTAAATTATGTAAATCAAGATCCTAGCAGAGTTTAACAGATGGACATATAGGTCAGCAGTCACATCCCACCTAGTTTAGAAAGCTTATATCAGTAATGTCAAAAATGAGATGGTAAACCGGGATTTTACTTCAAGAACCTTATATTAATAACCTTATATTAATCTGACTGTTATCCAAGGATTTAAACACTTGTACTCCAGAGTGCTCCAGAGATGAATATTAACTTCTAACTAGAACAGAATGAGATCCCAGATAATAACCCATTATGATCAAGAGATCACATTTTTCTCTAGGTTTTGTTTAGTATTTTTCATCCTCTGAGAGCTACAGGGGAATGGCCAAGATCTAGTGATATTAATGAAGGGATTGTGCTGCAATATTCAGTTGTCATTCTTGATGATCTGTTATGATCATTTGGGAAAGTCTGGGAGAGATTTCCATTTCATAAAAGTGTTGTGGATAAGCATACTACAGAGGTACAGAAATGTTTCCTTTGCTGCTGCTACTAAGTAAAAATTTAGCAACTAAAAGCTAGGATTAGTTGCCTTATGTTGGTGGCATGATCTTAAGGGGTTTGAGGGCTGTGAAAATGACCAGATCAATTTCTGAGCAATACATGTAGGTGTTTTTTCCTCTATATGTATACTTCAGTATTCTTTAACCTTTCAGTCACAATCCCAGGAAGGCATTGCCTAACAGAAACTATATTAGTTAGATCTCATGTTAGCAGAGGAAGGGCAAAGAAAAATATCATATGATGTTTTACTAATGATGTCAATCATCCATGCAACAATCATCCAATGCAACATGCATCATGGTGCATTGCCTGTCAGTTTTTCACAGTAGCGCTGTTCGTCTAGCTGCTCTTCAGGCCAGTCTACAAAATGGGTCATCCCTAATAGGTAAGAGAAAAAATCCTATCTGAGAATTTTGAGACCATTCAGCCAGTCCAGTATACTTTTGAAGGTCAGAAGAGAAAGTTGACAGTACTATTTTAACCATCTGCTCACAAAATCTTAATAAGAAGCATGAGGAAATGTGGAAGCTTTATTGAGGATCTTTCAGCTCTATGAGGTAAATCAGATTAAGAAAGTACAGTAATGCCATTTAGGTCAGGACTATTTTTATTGCAACAACTCCAATAAAAGAATCTTGCAACTCTGGATGTGACTTCCCCTTCTTCCCTTTATCTTTACCTCTTGTCTGAGACATTTACTCAAATTAATTTCTTGGCCCAGGTTCAAGTCCACGTATCTGAAACTGCCAGAGTAGTAATTCTGTGTTGTATAAACAGAGGCATAGAATCAAGATTACATGAAGTATTAGTAGCACTTTATTAAATCCTAGGAAGACTACACCTGGAATATTGCAGCCAATTTTGGTCACCATATTACAAAAAAGATAGTGAGAATTTGGAAAAAATTCAAAGAAGAGCAACTAAGCTGATCAAAGGCCTGGAGACTAAAACATACAAAGAACAGTTGCAAGACTTAGGTTTGGCTAGTCTAAAGAAAAGAAGAAATAGGGGAGACATGATAGCAGAGAGAGTCATTGTTAAGTCCTTCGCGAAATGGCAATGACACGAGAAGCAGTTGTAGTTCTCAGGAACCTCTTTATTTCTGTTCAGCATACTGGTTACAAGACGCTGACTACGCCCAAATCTCCCTGCCCCTTTTATAGGCGATTCCCAGGCCAAACTGTTACATTTGGCGCGCTCGCACCCATGCATGCGCGCGAGTGCTGGCGTCAGCCAGTCTGGTCCCGGGCAGCTTGCACCTGCCCGGGACCGTTGCAATGCCCCGAGCCTGCTTTCACAGGCTCAGGACATAACACCCCTTCCCCCCTGGCTAAGACTATGATCATACA